GGCGACGATGATGATGATGATGATGATGATGATGATGGAGATTATGCTGATGGTGGCGGTGGTACTGATGATGATGCTGATGATGATGGTGATGCTGGTAATGATGACGATGATGATGATGGTCATGATGATAATGGGCATGATGCTGCTGCTGCTGATGATGATGATGATGATGATTCTGATGATGATGACGCTGATAGTGATGATGCTTACGATGGTGATGGTGATGGTGCTGCGGCTGAAGGTGATGGGGATGATGCTGATGCTGATAATGCTGATGGCGATAATGCTGATGTTGATGCTGATGCTGATGATGATGCTGCTTACGATGATGGTGACGATACTGATGATGCTGATGATGATGCTGATGATGATGATAATGATAATGATGATGATGATGATGATGATGATGATGATGATGATGATGATGATGATGATGATGATGATGATGATGATGATGACGCTGCTGCTGCTGGGGGTGGTGATCATGATGGTGCTGATGGTGGTGGTGATGATGACGAAGATCATGGTGATGAATGATGCTGCTGCTGCTGATGATGATGATAATGATGATGATGATGATGATGATGATGATGATGATGATGATGATGATGATGAGGATGAGGATGAGGATGCTGCTGCTGCTGCTGATGATGATGATGAGGATGATGATGATGATGATAATGATGGTGCTGATGGTGCTGATGGTGCTGATGGTGGTGATGGTGGTGGTGATGACGATGACGACGATGATGATGGGGAGAAGGAGGAGGAGGAGGAGGAGGAGGAGGAGGAGGAGGAGGAGGAGGAGGAAGAAGAACCTCTGAGCGGATCCCCGATTCATTGTTTCTCGCGGGAATAAAGCCGCGGGTGTGGCTGAGTGGCAAGGATGGATTGAGGCACGGACGGCCAGTGTTTCTTCTGCAGCCGAGCCCGCCATTAAGACACTACTCTCCCTGCAGGTGCCCTGCTGGGGACACCTTCACGTCTGTGTCCAGGCAGGGACGCCTCGAGGCCCGAGGCTGTGCCCTCCCCCCCCCCGGGCTTGCCCGCGGGACACCCCTGGCTGCCCCCCGACCCCCCGCATGCCCCACCCCCCAGCTGCTCCCGCATCGGGCCCCCCCCGAACGTTGCGGCGACCAGCGTGCCGGTGCGTCCGTGGGGCTCCCCGGGCGGCCGCACGGCTTTTTGGGACCCGGGTCGTTCTCCCAGACTTGTCTCGGGCCGCGCGGCACATCACTGGGAACACCGGGAGGTCTTTCGGGGCGCGTTCTGATCAGAACTTCGAGGCGCATCCAGCGGTGGCGACGAGGGCCTCCCCCAGGAGGCCGAGAGAGGGGAGGGCGGAGCGGTATGGGTACCCGTTCCTTCCCCTGAGCCAGGGGCCGTGCGGTGGAGTCTCTGGGGATGCCGAGGTCGCCCTGCGCGGCCCGTCGCCCACCGTTGTGTGGGCCTTCTAGGCCCCCCCCCGCTGCCTTGGACTAGGTCGGGCATGTCCCCCTGCAGGCGGATTCTGGACGACCAATCAAAACCAGTGAAACAAACATGCCAACGCAGTCAAACATAATCAACACATCGTCCCCAGACTGTATTGTGACAATTTCTGAGTATTCCCCCTCTAGAAGGACACGCCCGACGTAGCCTTGGAACCTCCGACGCGAGCCGAGGTGGACGCGAGGCTGCAGCAGGCCACGCACACGCCCCGCGCTCGGGCTGCAGCGCGATCGCGTCTCCCAGCGGTGGCGGGGGGGAGAAGGAGGAGGACAAGGACGAGGAGGAGGAGGAGGAGGAGGAGGCGGAGGAGGAGGGTGTGGAGGGGGGGAGGGGGGGAGGAGAGGAGGAGGAGGGAGTGGAGGAGGAGGAGGAGGAGGGGAGGAGGAGGAGCAGGAGGAGGAGGAGGGAGGAGGAGAGGAGGAGGGCAGGAGGAGGAGCAGGAGGGGAGAGGAGGAGGAGGAGGAGGAGGAGGAGGAGCGGCGGAGGAGGAGGAGGAGGAGGAGGAGGAGGAGGAGTGAGGAGGTGGGGAGGGGGGAGGAGGAGGCGGAGGAGGAGGAGGAGGAGGGAGGAGGAGGAGGAGGAAGAAGGAGGAGGAGAGGAGGAGGAGGAGGAAGGAGGAGGAGCGAGGAGGAGAAGGAGAAGGAGAAGGAGAAGGAGAAGTAGAAGCGAGAGCAGTCTTCAGAGGAGGAGGAGGAGAGGATGAGGAGAGGAGGAGGAGGAGGGGGGGGGAGGAGGGGGGGAGGGGAGGAGGAGGGAGGAGCGAGGGGGAGGAGGAGGAAGGAGGAGGAGGAGGAGGAGGAGAGGAGGAGGAGGAAGGAGGATGGACGAAAGGGATGGAGGAGGAGGAGGAGGAGGAGGAGGAGGAGGAGGAGGAGGGGGGGGGAGGAGGAAGGGAGAGGAGGAGGGAGGAGGAGGAGGAGGAGGAGGAGGAGGAGGAGGAGGAGGAGGAGGAGGAGGAGGAGGATGGGGAGGAGGAAGAGGAGGAGGAGGAGGCTCTGTCACATTTGATGGCAAGTTTTTGTGCAAAGCCTGCTGGTTTTGATAAACGAGTTTGCGCGCATATGGACATTTGACGAAGATGAGGGGGCGGGGCCGATACGTGCCTAGCTGAGATGGTATGACTTCATCTGGCAAGCGGACGTTGGGGCAGAATCGTATGTAAATTGCAGTGTCCCAGGAGGGACCGCGAAGACCCCGGGGTGGGTGGGTTGTAGATCCGAATTTCTTCTTAGGAATTGCGAACATACGTTATGCAATCTGTGTGCAATCTATGTGGTGCAATTAATGTTTGTTCGCAGTGAGTCGTCCACTCCACTGCTCGCGCAAACATACCACCCACCCACCCGCAACTTGGTTTGCAAAATCTCTTAAGACCGTGACGGTGGGTACCAAATGGCACTTGGCAACGACAGCGACGCCGACGACGACAGCGACAACGACGACGACGACGCCGCCGACAACGACTACGACGACCACCGACGACGTCTCCGACGACTTCGGACGACGCCGACGACGAACGACGCGACGGACAACGACGACGACGAGCCGACGACGACGACGAACGCTGACAACGACGACGACGACGACGACCAACGACGACACCGACGACGACGACGACGTATACAACCGACGCCGACCGACGACGACGAACGACGGAGGCGACGACGATGACGCCGACGTCGACGACGACGAAGACGACGACGACGCCGACGCCGACCACGACGACGACGAAGACGACGACGATGTCGCCAACGAAGACGACGAGGGAGGAGGGAGGACGACGACGGCGACAACGACGACAACGACGACAACGACGAGGGAGGAGGGAGGACGGCGACGACGCGAACGACGAAGAAGGAGGAAGGACAGCGACGGCGACGACGACAACGACGAGGGAGGAGGGAAGACGACGACGACAACGACGACGATGACGACGGCGACGAAATAGGAGGGACGACGACGATGCGCCGGCGATGGACGACGACGACGAGGGAGGAGGAGGAAGGACGACCACGGCGACAACGACGACGGAAATGACCACGACGCCAAAGACGACGACGACGACGAACACGAGGAAAGACAGAGGACGACGTCGGCGACGACGACGACGACGCGGGAGGAGGAAGGACGGCGACGACGACGACGACGACGCAAGAGTGCTCGCGCACGCTTTTGTTGAAAGTCCGTGTTGCAAAACCTGGTGTTTTTGTAGGTTTTGTGGACACACGATTTTGAAATCCTTCCGAAACCGATGGGTTTGGAAGGATTTCGGAATACGCGCGCGACGACGCGCGCGTCTGCACTTCGTCTAATTTTTTGCAGAGGGTTCTCGCGACGGCACACGCGCAAGGGCGTTCGACAGATTTCGACATGCGCGCGCGCGCGAAGCCCGTTTGGTAGCATTTTGTGAAAATCTCGAAACACTTTTTTGGTCAAAAAAAAAAAAGATTTCGCAAGAGCTCGCGCGTAAGCTTTTTAAGCGAATCAGTGTTGCGAAACCCTGTGTTTTTGTATTTTTTTTTTGAAGCTCGATTGCGAAATCCTTCCGACACCGAAGGTCTTTGAAGGATTTCGGCATGCGCGCGCGACGACGCGCGCGTGTGCACTTCGTCCCGTTTTTTGCAAGGGATTCGTGACAAGTCTTATGTTCGAGCAACACATGTCCCCGTGTTTTGTTTTTTACAATGGGACCTCAGGAGGACCGATCCCGGCCCCCCGGGGATAGTATAAATTCATACTTCGGATGGACATGTGGTCAGAACCATATATGATTTACATACCCAAAAGGGGTACGGATATTTCCGGGGGGGGGGGGGGTAGAGTTATTTTTGAAAAGAAAGGAGAATCCACGTGGTGCAATGTGGTGCAATCCACGTGGGGCAATCTATGTGGTGCAAGGTACGTTGTGCAACCCGCCCTGCCGAACATGAAATTGTCAACGCCATTGCTCGCGCAATCACTCCAACCTCCCACCCGCAACTTGGCGTGCAAAACGTTGACGGCGCGACCGCGATGGTTGCTTGGCGCCGCCTGGCGCATCGTTCGGGCCGCATTAGCGCGCGCAGGATCGCGCGCAGAGCGGCCAGCTAGTGTGGCGCTACCGACGCGGCCGCGGTGGCGCTGACCGCTGGGGACGCATGCCCCGTTGGCGCGCGGGCAGTTCAGGGAGAATCGATGAACCTGGCGGGCGTTGTTCCACGGCGACTTCGACAACGGAAGACGCGATGATGATAGTAGCGATGTTGGTGGCGAGGATGGCGATGTCGACGGCCAAGGCCAATGACGGCGCCGATGCTGATCACGATGACGATGATGCTGTTCGCGCGTCGGTGATGCAGCTTTCCAAAAACATGATAGACGCGCGCGCGTGGCCGACGCGCGCGAGTGGCCCGCATGGTGTTTCTTGATAGGGACCGTGCCCCCCCCCGCACGCGCGCAAGGGCTTTCGGACAATGTCGACTTGCTTGCGCGAGAAGCCTGCTTGGTCGCATTTGATGAACATTTGG